ACAGTCTCATGCTCCATTACCAAATGCTGGTTGTAATATTTAATCAAAGTCTAGTTTTATGCATCAGTTGGTTTTGCAAATAATATTTATGGGTCTGGAATGCCTTCAACCTGCAGGCATACCGCCGAAGAGAATCTTTGTTCTCAAGCTACTGGACACGAGCAGGGAAAGTGAGAGAAAGAACGCAAGGGTGCTGCTGCCTGGTCCATGGCAGATGGCGGAGGTGCCAGGCCGGATACAAATCAGATCCTTCACACCCAGGACCATCCTCAGGCCCAAATCTGTGTCCATTTATCATCTAGCTCCTTCGTCCAAATCCAGTTCGCCACCGAACTTGCCCTTCTCCAGAGAGTTCGATCTCCTCTTCTGAGAATCCTTGCTCTGGCCCACATGGGAGCATTTGTACAGCTTTGCATCTTGGGAGATTATACTCCATTACTCTTGTAGGCTTCCCTGGAGCAGGCAAAGATTTCTCCTTTCTTTTCCCCACCTTTCCAGGCTGCTGGACACCCAGCTGGATTAATGAAAAGCGCCTAGTTTACAGCCTCTGGACTCTGCCCACAGAGGAATGCCAGATTTTACTAGCGTCTACTTCTATGGTCAGTCATTCCCTGGCTCCTGCTCTGGTCCCCTTGCTCCCTGTTTTAGTGACCACACCATGTGAGATGTCTGAAAGTGTCTGAGAATCTGTCCTCTGCCTCTTTGACTCATTCATTCATTTACTCTTCATCCTCTGCCCTTCCCACATACACAGCCCTTTAAAAACGAATCTGCTCTACTTTGGAGGCTCCTAAGTAGGAGCGAGAGCCATTTCTTAATAGGTTAAGTCCCATCCATACATGAGCTCACTCCTTCCAAGTCTCAGGGAGCAGCAGCTGCTATTTCTTTATTTTCCCAAGATGTATTTTTATTTATGTGTATGTGTCTGTGTGAATAACTTCCACATGTGTGGTAGGTATCTATGGAGCCCAGAAGCGGGCATTGGATCCCTGGGACTAGAATTAACATGTGGTTGTGAGTTACTTGAAATGGGTGCTAGGAATGGAACTTGGGGTCCTCTGGAAGATCAGCAAGTAGTCTTAGTCATTGAGCCCTCTCTGCAGTCTAAGTAATTGCTAGTCCTGTTAGTCCCATTCTGCAGCACAGAATCTGGAGTCTTGAGAGGTTTACTGGTTTGCCTAAGGTCACATACCTGCAAGTGAAGAAACGGAATTCTGTATGTAAGATTGACCCTCAGCACCCTACCGCGATCTTAACCTTGGCATTCTGCTATCTTTCTCTGATAGTGGTGGCACACCTATTATGGCTAATGATTCTGTCTGCAGCTCTAAGTGGAGTAGGCCTTGGGAGTCATGACTCAGTTTCTCCTAAATCAGGCCCAAGAGCTTTTCTGATTGGAGAGGAAATCAAACTCAAATCTCAGACTTTCCAAAATACTTTCATCCCTGGGTGGCTTAAATTGACCAAAGCATTCAAACCAACTGTTAAATGCCTTGACTTCCAACAGGGCCCTGGGAGAACTGCCTGCCTCCCATGGGTGCAGAAGAGCAGTGAAGAAAGGGAGCCAGCAGAGAGCCAGGCAAGGTTCCTGTCTCTCGGAGTCTTGAGTATCTCCCTCCCCAAGCAGCTCCTGGTGCTCCTTGCTGGCCTTCTTTCTCATTAGGGTTTCTCTGTCAACCTGAGGATTTACAACGTGAAATGTTTCCATTTCCCTGACATGATGCCTCGGCATCAAAGCGCCCGTGCCTGCCCTCTGAAGCCTGGGATGAAGGTGACTTCGAGAGGGAGACAAATGAATCACTGGGCTGATGCCCATCCCTTTCTTTCTCCGTAATACATCTGTTTATTATTGAACAGGGGCTTGCACGGTTCCGTGATGAATTGCCTTCTCTTCCATAGTCCTGTCCCCAGACGGCTGGGAAGGCTGGAGCGTCTTCCAAAAGCATCTGCTTTTGATCTCTAGTCCTTTTAAATCTTGGGTTAAAATCTTAGTCTAGTCAGATGGGCCTGCAAAGTAGCTGCTAGCAGGAAAGCAGCAACCTTGGCATAACCATCTGGGTCCTCTCTTAAGGGACCGCGGGATTCCCTTACTCAGTCTAAGGGTGGGGTAGGGCCTTGACCCAGAGGGGTGCCCCACTCTACTGGTTCCCAAGATCGTTCCCATTTACAGGTGCAGCACCCCAGGAATGCTGGGAGGTGGGGAGTGGGCTCGGGCCATCCTCCCCACGAGGTGCTGGTGCTGCCTGGAGAGCAGCTGGGCCTGTGGCCCCCAGCCAAAAATACACCAGACACCTGCCATCATTCCTTTTATCTCTGTTTCAGGCCGCCTCTGGAATGTCACTTCTTTGGGGAAATTGCTCTTGACCGTTTCCAAACTGTGTGTGCTAACAACTGCTACCTGTTCGCCAAACCCACATCCTCTTCCTCTGGGGCAGGCAGCCTCCCTGGCAGGTGAACAAGGCCACGTGACTTAGGATGGCTTAGGAAATAGAGGCTGCTTCCAAGCCTGCCTCCTAAGGCCCTCTCTAGTGAGATCCATGTTATTTTGCTAGGGGTCTCTTCTCAGGGATGGGTTTTTCTGGGTTTTCACACCCATAACGGGGCTGTGAAGCCACTGAATATGGATGTCTGTTGTCACAGCAACTGGTGTTGTCTAAAGCTTGGTCCCTGAGGCACATACTTCTCTAGCCCTTGTTGTATCTCTGCTGTCACTTTACAGAAGAAAATAGCAGGACATCTGCCTCTCCCCTAGACAGCGGAGAGAAGCCATGTTTCCCCTTCCCCCATTGAAAATTTGGGCCTAACATAGCACCTTTCTGAGACACAGAAAGAACCCAAAGGACACCTACTGTGTGTTAGACTGTCTAGGTGTCACAGCTGAACTCCTGAGATGCCAGGTATAAAATCAGGAGCCGGATTTAGAACTCAGTTCTGCTGCAAAGAAGCCAAGCACTCCTCTCCATATCTCTAAGCTTCAGTTGTCCTTATGTGTCGTTGGAACAGAGACCGCTCTCTCTCTCAGGGTTTATAGAAACTTAGCCAGTGGAACTGTTACTAAGTCATGCTAATAGCAAGAACTTGAACCTGAGAGGCTTAGGGGTGGGTGGGCCCTTAGAGGTGCTAAGTGCAGTATGTATTATCCCTAGACAGACTGTGAAGGGCATAAGGCCAGCATCACCAGGGGACTGTCAAAACAAGACCCTGCAAGGTTAAGCTACTAGGTCAAAGATACACAGCCTCTAAGCCTTGGTGACTATAACTAAAGACACAGTGGGGAGACCACCCTCCAGGTCTCTGGAATCCTGGATTAGCATTTCCCCTGGATGAGCCTTCTCTCCCTCTGGGATATGGCAAAGAAGACAGGCAGCTCCACCAGCTGGGTAAGCTGGGGCATGACCTTTACCCTCTCTGGGCTTTAGCCTTGTAAATTAAGAACACAAAATTCACATCTGACTATTCCTCAAGTTGAAACGGATTAAAATTTGCAAACATGCTCTGGAGAGGTGGCTCAGCAGTTAAGAGCACTGGCTGCTCTTCTAGAGGACCCGGGTTCAATTCCCAGCACCCACACAATAGTCCATGACTATCTGTAACTCCAGTGCCAGGATATCTGACACCCTCGCACAGACATACATGTAAGGAAAACACTAATGCACATAAAATAAGAATATCTAAATAATTAAAAAGTTTTTGAACATGTTTAGCATGAAGTTGCCCATAAATTAAAACACTAGCCTCCTTGGTTCTCAGGGCTTCCCCCCCACGCCACTTTTACCCTTTTCTTCTAAAAAAGAGGTCTCATTTCCAAAGTCTAGACTGGCCTTGAAATTGCTATGTTATACAGGGTGACCTTGAATTCTTCTCAGATGTTGAGATTAGGGGATTACAGGCATGTACTACCATATCTGCTTTATGTGGTGCTAAAGATTGAACCCAGGGCCTTGCACATCCTAGGCGAGTGCTCTACCAACTTGGCTACATCCCCTATAAGCTTTTTATTACCTGGATGTTATTAGATTGCTGAATGTCAACAGCTGTGCCTCATTTTCTCATGTTAGAAAAACGTCCTTTGTGACTGAAGTGATAGTCAAAGCGAGCATGTATGCCACTCTGCTTTGTAACCTGTAGGCTAAGCTATATTTGCGAGCTGTTAGTAATATCTGATAGTAGTTTTAATAATAGTTTGGTAGCTATGGTTCAAAGCAGTAGACGTCTAGGCCACAGAGCTTGGTCACAGGCTCAGTTGGTCGCAATTACAGAAGTGTTGTGAAGGATAAAATGGCAGGGAGGGTGACCAACTTCTAGCACCACCGCCTCTGATGTGGTAGTGGCAGTGGCTGGTGTGGTCGCTGAGGTGGCAGCTATTATAGGAGAGGCAGCAGTGACAGGCTGGCAGCAGGAGCATTGACAGACGTCATCACTACACTCAAGTCACACTGGCTTTTTGCTGTTTTTCTACTCCTGGGAAAAACTGATGTGCCCATAGTTCCTAACAGATACTCAAGGTTTCCAGTATGCCCAGAAGTGAGAGTCATTGTCTCAGGATACCATTATCCCTAGAATATACAAAGAACTGTGTACTTATAAGAGGCCAAATGGTCAACTGCCTTGCCCCTTGAAGCCTCTGGTCTGCCAGATGAACACCTCTAGGAGCCTTTAAGAGCCTCCTAAGCAAATCTAGGTGTTCTTTCTCCCATAGTCCCTAAACACCATTCAATAAGTATCTATTGGAAGCCTTTTGTGAGTCCTGCAGAAGAACAAAATGAAGCCCAGCTGTGGAGAAGTCCTGAGTGTCCCTTTGTTGTAGAAAGTAGGCAGCTCCAGGGATGGTCCCATCCTCTTCTGGTCAAGTATGGACTACTAGGTGGACCTCTTTCATCCAGTAGATTTTTTTAGAGCTTTTCACAGAAAAGCACGGGAGATACTGGCAACAAGTCATCCTGAAATCCCTCAGACAAGGTCAAGGTGCTTAACCTCCACTTTGGTTTCTTTGGTTGCAGAATGAGAATACTCATGATCAAATCGTCTGCAGGCTTGCTATAAGAACTACGTGAGTTATCACTGCACGTGATGTGCTTAGAACCGAACACGCATAGCAACACCATGGAAACATCAGATGCAAGCCAGGGATCATGTTAAGCTCTGGCCAAGCTGCAAGCAGGGGACGTCTCAGTTCTCCCTTCCAGAGCTCTCGTTTTAACAAGGGACAGCTGATAACTATATGGCAGGTAGGCACTGCGGCTGTGAGAAATACTTCAGAAAGCAGAGACAGTGAACACCACTGCAGTTTAGGTTCCTACGTGGTCTTTTCTGAACCCCTGAAAAAGGTTTGGATGAAGTGAGATATAAGCTGGTACCACCTGGGTCAAAGGGTTGCTGACAGAGGCAAAAATGTGCTTTGCATGTTTCCCGAAAAGCAAGGGACCAAGGTGGCTCGAGTGGAATGAGGGGTGGGGATGGGGTGGGTGAGGAGTGGGGGGGAAGAAGTTGGGAGTTGATTCTGTAGAGTTTTTCGAGCTAAAGCTTTTGCCAGGAGTAAAGTTGGAAGGCCAAGGAGGGTTTTGATCTAAGAAGCATGAGTTGACCAAAGGATGGCTCCAGGTCCCTTGGAAAGTGAAGATTCACAGTGGAGAGCATAAAAGAATATTTAGGGGGCAATGCATCACATGCAAGTGGTAATGGCAGCTTGGGTCATGGGACTAAGATGGGAGGTAGCAAAAACAGTGGAATTCCATGTGCGTCCAAAGTGTAGCAACAGCCTGGTTTGGACATGGAGTATTTGAAGGAAGGTAACATTCCAGGGTGGGTCTCAGATTTCTGGACTGAAAAAAAAAAAAAACGTTAGAAGGGAGCTGACCTGAGTGAGTCAGGACTGCGCACAGTGATAGGAGAAAGATCCCTTTGGTATTGAAGTCATTAAGTCTGACACAGGGATTTGCTACTCAAATGGAGACTCTACCCAAGTGATAAGAGTCTACAAAGTTCATACACAGGGAATTTGAGGCTGATGAGAGCAATGGACAGTCCTTAATGGAGACTCTCCATTATGATGAAGTGCAGAAAGACAAGAAGAGGTCTGAAACCCAAGTCTGGGACCCTACGAAGTTTGGGAGTCAGGGGGAAGTCCTGGCAAGGACACTCACCAGTTGGATGAGAGTGACAAAGAGAGAACGGTCATTCTGGACAGCAAGTGCTTCAAGAAAGTGTATACTGTTCCGTCAAGGAAGACAAGACAAGAATATGAGCACAGGCTGCACTATAGGAATGAATGGAAAGGAGGCAATAACGGCTAACCTGGAGGAAAAGGAAGTTGTCGTTGGAGAGGTGGCCGTGCACAGGCCCAGCAAGTGAACTAGCAGGCATGAACTCAGGCTGCAGTTTAAAGCCTTGGGAAATGGAGTCTGACAAGCAAGGCTTTTAAATCTTTACAAGGGCATCCAGAGGCATAGGAGGGGAAAGAAGCAAGTTGGTCGAGACTGATTTATATGCACTAGGCAACCTCACAGACGGGGCTAGGGATGCTGGGCACTCGGCAGAAGCCACCCTGAGGTCAGCAGTGGGACAGTTCTACTGAGGCCAGACATAACATCCATAATATTGTCTAGCCAGACGGCTCCTCAGCTGTTGGACATGTCTCGCCACCCCCTCGGTTACTACAAAGAACAGATAAAGTTACAGACTTCTTTATTGTTTTCTGTTTCCCATTTTAGTTCAGTTGCAATATATATTTAAGTATATCATTCATATATATATATATACATATATGTATGTGTATATATATGTTTGTGTTTGTGTGTGTGTGTATTCAAAGAATAAGAATAAAAGCAATTTGTGGGCAGGAAAGGTTAGTCAGTGGTTAGGACACAAGTTCTTGCAGAGGAGCTGAGCTTGATTCCTAGCACCCACATAATAGCTCCCAACTGCCTGTAATTACAGTTCTATAAGTTCTTCTGACCTCTGTGGGCACCAGGCATGCACATGGCACACACGCGCATGCACACACACACACACATACACAAGAAAGAAAGGCACTCATATTCATAAAATAAAAACAAAGCTAAATCCATCCCCCCAAACACCCCAACTTGCTCTCATTGGGTTATTGTTCTCCGTAGGCTAGCACTTGCTTTGTGAGGGGTAGGGGCAGAGTGAAGGGACACTTTGCGAAAGTGACCCTTCTAGAATTAGTCCTGGAAATGAAGTCTCCGTCCGTCTGTCTCTTACAAGATGGTTGATAGTGATCAGCTGATTTGGCCTCATTCCTCAGGAGGTTTCCAGGACTGACGCAGAGATGGACTGTGACCTGAGAGCTGTCAGCTGAAACAAACCCTTTCCACCCCAAATTTCTTTTGGTCATGGTGTTTTACCACAGTAACTGAGAGTCTATGACAGATCTGGCAGGCTCACCTGTGCGCCAATTCCCCGGCTCACTGCTCAGGGCCCTCACCTGGGCTCTCCTCCCTGGGCTTTGCCCTTGCAGCTTTTAGACACCTGCCTCTAGGGCAAGAGGAAGACAGGGACAGAGAAAGCTCCCAGGATAAGAAAAGGGCAGCCGGAGTTAAGGCCAGCACACAAAGAGAGGTCAAAAGGGACAGAAAGAGACAGCACAGCCAAATCCTCTACTCATGTTCTTAAGGAGCAAACGGGTCATGTGATTACATGTGAAATAAAGCCGGTGCCGGGAGATAAACAGCTGAAGTCAAGTCAAGCGCTCAGGAGGAACCTTACTTGTTTCAGGAAAAGAGTCATATCAGTGTCTGCTCACTTCACTGTGTAGGTCTTCTCTTTCAGATTTGTCCCCCAGACATCTTCTTGATGTCTGCCATACACAGGAAATGTGTAGAAGTCATGATGACCAACGCTCAGACCAAGATCACCCGAGAAGCAAGGCTCCACCCCAGATGGTGGGCACTATTCCACATCAAAAGTTGTTGGTCAGTTTTCCCTGTTTGTAACCTTCTTAAGGATGGAACTGTACAATGTGTGTTTTATCTTATTTCTTTAAAAAAAAAAACCCTTCCATTAGTATATTAGTGATTAATTTCTAAATAGCACGTGCAACATTAGTTAAGTCTCATCTTTCCCTGAGATGATACAGCACAACTTACTTAACCATTTACTACTGAAGTGCTGTGGCAGTCTGAACAAGAATGCTCTCCTTATGCTTATATATTTGAGTTCTTGATCCCTCATCAGTGGGACTGTCTGGGAAGGATTAGGAAGTGTGGAATTTTTAGAGAAGGTGTGTCAATGGGGGCAGGCTTTGGGATTTCCAAATCTATGTTCTCTCTTTCTGTCTCCTGTCTGCAAATCAAGATGCAAGCTCTCAGCTACTGCTCCAGCGATGTGCCTGCCTGCCTGCCATCATGATCCCTATGATGATCATGGACTCTAATCCTCTGAAACAGTAAACCCCAAATAAATTCTTTCTTCTATATGTAGCCTTAGTCATGGTGTCTTATTGCATCAAGAGAAAAGTAACTAAAACATGGGATTTGTGGGTAATGTGCACCATTACTCATAATAGGCTAAATATTCTTGGGTGTTCTTTTGGCAACAACATGTGTCGTTGGATACCCAGGATAGAAATCCCAGGCTTAAGACCGTGTTTGTGCTTGACTTTGATTATTCTTGTATTTCAGATGCAATTGTGTTTGTTTGAGTGCTCCAGCAGTAGGTGAGGTTTGGGGAGTAGTATAGGGAAGCCCATTGCATCTTCAGCAGGACAGTAGAGGAGCCAGGAACAAAGTATGTGGCTGCAAAGGTGCTCATGGCATTTCACTCATCCTTCAATCTACGGCACAACATTGATGCATGTTCCACAGAGAGTGCTAAGGACACAGCTGTGGTTCAGATGGCATACCTTCCCTGAGGGAGACAGTCAGACATGACCACAAACCACCACAATTCCAGGTAGGCAACACTCAGGAGAAAGCTCAGCCAAGGCAGGAGAGGAACCAAACTGTTGGCCTCCTGCCTGTCCACCCACTAATTCACCCAGCTTTGACTCCTACATAATGAGCTATCTCCATGCATATCAAAATGGCCCCCGGGAGAGAAATCAGCTCCTGTCACCCTTCTGCCATCCACAGAGACAGAGATTTGACACTTGCCAAGGGAACGTTTGGGAAGGAAAGAAGACAAGTTTTCCAAGTTTGACCTGTACTCCAAATGTAGAGGATGAGCCAGTGGGTACAGGTGGTCTGTCTGACCCATTTGGCCCTGTCTCTCTCTTGGAAGCACACTCTACCACCTCCTTTTCTCTACAGTTACTATGATGCACAGCCCGTGTCTGGTCCCTCTGGGCCCTGCTGAGGGGGGCATGAATTGCTCTGCTGAGCAAAGAAGCAGCACACACATCTCCAAGTTCAACAGCCTCGTGGTTGCCCTGGGACCAGCTGGCCCTGTCCACCTCCCTTTCTGCTGAGCACAGAGAGGCTCCTTGTCAGGGAGGAGCTGGTGCAGCCACTTCTGTCTTGCCTCCCCACGGACCAGGTGGTTTGTTCTGCAGCAAAACCAGGGCTGTTCTGGAACTAGCTCTGCCTGGACTCTGTCACCCCGTTCATCACCCAGGTTTGGCTGTAGGGCCCATGGTGGCAGGAGATGGAGTTCACTCCTCATTTATTTTCACATGCCTGCTCCTCCACCCCTGGGAGGTGGGATTTAAGTCTCTTGGAATGACAGTGACAGAAAGCCCTTGGGGGGATCTGATAAGGTTCTTGAGGCCTATGGAGCAGAGACTTCTTTAGGTTCATAGTTGGGACAGAGGGACCAGGATGGAGCTGCCACAGACTCTGCCCCCAGGCTCTGAAAGCTTCCAGGCCTGAGTCCTATGCCCGGCTAGCTTTCTCTAGGCCCAATCACATGCCCTACCACTGGGAATTGCCCCTCCAGTGCAGGGGAAGGTTCTGTGTAACTCCACCCCACATAGCAGGCCTCATTCCAATGATGGCTGTCAGGGGCATGGTGCCCAGCACTGGGTTGCACAGGCACGTACTGTGATTTCCAGTCCCCAAACCACAGGCTGTCCCTATATCTGTCAAGTGTGATCTCTCCTGGGCCCCTGCTGGCCCCTCCAAACAAGCTATCTTTATGAAATGCAATGACTGCCCTTCATATATTAAAATAACACCTTACCAGGAAGGACCTCACGTCAGGGCCACCACACAAAGACACATTCACATGCTAGCAGAGGGAAGCCAATGGAGGCTTGGCCTGGGGCCCAGAGGAAAGAGAGGATACAGAGCCCGAGGCTCTGGGGTTACAGACAAGAGGGTGGGTTAAACAAGACAGCAATGGGGGCTGTGAAGGCCCAAGGCTAACAAAGAACTCTAGGTTCAAAGAAAGCTGGACTGTCTATCTCTCACTCTCAGAACAGGCTGGATGCTCTGAGGATGACCTAGGCATGGATCTCTTTGGTCTCTAATGCCAAGGCCAACAATGTCCGAGCCTCTCTCTAGACTGAAATCAGTGTTCTGAAAGAGAGGTTAGGACAGAAGAAACCTCAGATGCCCACCAGACCCAAAGTTCTATACTAGGACTGGTTCAGTTTGTGGGGCCATGGTATCAGGCTTTGGCCTGTCTATTTCCTGCTCACTGGTGAGTTCATCCCCTCAGAGTCCCCTCCTAATCTAGAGAATGGGGTCTGGGGTCCAGGTGTGCCTGGTTCAGTCCTGTCACTCTGTAGTATAAACTCTATAAACTAACTGGAAATCTCTGTCACAAAGATTAAGCAGAATAGCCATAGAAAAATTACGTGCATAAGTAGACAAGGTCAGCTTTCTTTCCACATAGCCTGGACTTCTAAATGAGTGGAGATATTTAAGTCAACAGCCAGAGAGTACTGACTAATTAACAACGTTGAACAAACAATGTCGAGAAGAGGGGTACTTTTAAATAAAGTTTCTGAGGCCTCAGAGAAAATACACATTGAACGACTGCTCTATGTGGGCAGTGTTCGAGGCCTGGGGATGCGCAGCACACAGTGGAACAGGATCCCATTCCTGGTGTTACTGAGCACTGCCCATGTGAGGTCGGTGAGACAACGGACAGATTAAGTTATGCAGTGTGTTAACAGTTTAAAGGACAATGGGGAACGGATATGTCGAGGCGGGAGCACAAGGCCATAGTTTCACAAAGAAGGGACATCCCGCAGGAACACTAGAGAAAGGTGTGCCGACAGGCAGGCTATCTGTGCCCCTCCCGAGGAAACAAGGCGAAGCCACAGGGAGAGATCAGAATAAAGGCTTTTAGGAAGATGGTGATGTCAGAGGCTGTAGCCAGGGTAGGAGATGATCAGAGAAGAGGGTGTCGCTGATCATTTTATACCTTATAGGCCACTGTGCAGGTTCCTGGGATAAAACACAAGGCTCAACCTGAAACATGGCCTTTTGAGGTGAGGAGGAGTTTACTGACCAAGGAGCAGGAAAGACCAAGCTGTGCCCAGAAGAAAGAAAACGGTGTCCCCACAGGAGAGCTGCCTAGAAGTTGGGTTTCTAATGGAAACTGTTAAAAGTTTCACTCTGACTGGGCAGGAGCTAGCTCTTTTTCTTTTAGGCAAGGCTAGCTCTTTTTCTTTTAGGCAAGGTGGGGCCACTAGAAGAAGCCTGTGTGGGTGTTTGTTTTGTATCCCTTCTCTCCCCAAGTCTTACACCCTGTCTCACCTGGGCAATTCATCTTCTTCCTGTCAACACACATGCATGCATACATGTACCCGTGTGTGTGTGTGTGCGTGTACGCACGTGCACACACACACAAGTTCTTACAATAGTACTGGTCATGGTCTTCTTCAGAAAGTTTTGGTAAATAACACTTAATAGATACCTTACAAACCACAGCAACACATGCTGTGCTTGCCACCAGAAAAAAAAAATGTATTGGCCATCAGGAAAAGTAACTGAAGTTCAGGTTCATCCTAGAAGAGTTTTCCTTCACTATCTGCCCTATGCAGACCATCATTCAACACAAAGCACAGGCCCAATGAATCAGTGCAAACAAGAAGAGAGCTGGGTGCAGAAGCCTACAGTCTTCTACCCTAGACATGCTCGGTGGGATGAGTGCGGAGGAAGCCGCTTGGAAGTGGAGGCTGCTGCAGTGCTGGAGCCCCGGCCTCAAGGACAGCCAGAACATCTGGTTCCCCAGGTGACCTCCGGAAAGTCTAAGCCCAGCCTGTTCTGGCCCGCCCTCTGATAAAAGTCACCACCCTCGCACTTAGGTGCCACTAGCGTGCTAATGAGTTGTGATTAGACCTGGTGTGAGACTCCCCTTTTCACTGACCTCAGCTGACTGACCTTGGCTTTAGAGGCAGAGAAAGGAAAAGGAGAGACCCTGAGAATTGAAGGCCAGCTTAAGGTAGAGAAGTTCAGGACACAGGGCAGCTCAGTCAGGAGTGAGAGGTGTGCTCTGTAAGGGGCCCGGGGGGCAGGGAGGACAAACCCTGCTGGTAGCATGCCCTCTCACCCTCCATCCAGCCGCTGTGTTGAAGTACAGAACACTGGAAGTCTAAGGTATTTTGGTAGCTTGACCTGAACTTATACCATACCCTATGTATTAATCTAGATCACTTTTGTGAATGTTTATGTTTTACTCTACAAATATTATTATGTTCAATTATAGATGCTGCTCCAGGGCCATGTAGAGCAGTGGTTCTCAATCTGTGAGTCTCGACCCCTTTGCAGGGGGGTGGAACAGTCTTTTCACAGGGGTTGTCTGAGATCATCAGAAAATAGATATTTGCATTGTGTTTCATAATTGTAGCAAAATTACAGTTATAAAGTAGCAATGAAAATAATTTTATTGGGGGGGTTACCACAACATGAGGAGCTGTATTAAAGGGTCACAGCATTAGGAAGGTTGAGAACCATTGCTATAGGGTGTTAAACATGCATATGTCCCTTATATGACACTGTAAAATTTCCCAAATTCCAATTCTAAATTGAATTTGTATCAGAGTTTTTGATGAAGAAACGAGAAGCAGT